TAATCTATACCTCTTTTTCTAATGCTTTATAGCCTTTGTTATTTCATTTAATTGTTATAACCCTATGAATAGTTTTATGAAGTGATATGCTCAGTACTCAGAATTCATCTGTACTGTTAGAAAAGGATAATTGTAATTGTGCTAATATTTTAGATTTATTGCAGTTGTGTTGTTATACTTCACAATCAAAAGTGATGATCTACTTTTTTGATTTTTGGAAGAACTAATCAAACTCTTAATGTGGTTTGCAAAATTCTGGTTTGTTCCACTTCAATTATTTGCTCTACTTTAAGTTATTACTTACCTATAAAACAAAGGAAAGTCAGAATTAATTACTTTTTTCCTTTTCTCCTCATTCTTTTGCTGGCACTAGGTTTTGTGTTTAGGACCTCACACTCATCTCGCACTTGACACGTGACCTGAGTTACACCTCCAGCCTGGATTTTGGCTGATTTTGGAGATGGACTCTCAATCATTTTTCTGTCTGGGCTTGCTTCAAACCACAACCCTCTTAGTTTTAACTTCCTGGGTAGTTGGACTATATGAGCCTCTGGTATACAGCAGGCTATGGTTTTAAAGCTTAAAGTATGACTTATAACATTGTTCTGGGCCATTCTTTTCTTATACAATGAAAACCTTGGATTTTTACTGTTTAAATCAGAAAACATTATATGGACTAAAAATAAAGTGAAATTTTGCCCTGAGACCAAAGAGGTATCATTTGGACAACCAACTATGCTTCAGGTCTGGCACACAAGCTTTGAGGATGCTGTTGAAGCTCAAGTCTGAGAGAACTGGACCTGTCTCAAGAAGTAGGGAAAGGAATGGGTTCCACCATCTGGAAAAAGATGGTGGCATTTGAATGAGGAGGGCTCTCATTTATTTCTCAATATTAGGGCATAAATACCTGCTGCTCCCTTGCTCTCCTCTACCCTCCCCGCCCCCATCTTTTTTTGTTTTTACTAGATACTAGCATGGATCACTTTTATACTTCCCTTTCTGTTCATTCTAGGAGACACCAGTTACTATATTGGGAGGATATTCAACAATCTTATGCAGAGGATTACAAAGATGGAAACCAAATTGCTGATGTTAGCCAAGTGTCTCAGTTATTTTCAAAGGAGATCAGCTAACTTACCCTTTTAACTGGGGCCTTAAACATCACTGAGCAGAGACAAGCCTTTCTAATTGTTTTACCCACCTGAGATGGTTTCTTAAGTCAATGTATGTGGAGGTTATTCACTATGCACTGGTACGTACTAAATTATTCTCAAATATTTCTTGACTAAGGGGATAAATATAAGCAAATTTCTACCTGGATCACTCAGTGATCAATTAACTTAAATAAAACTATGTAAATTATTTTTTTGAGCAACAGAAACATTTACTTCTGGCATCAAGCTCTCGTCTCAACATTCACAAATTATTTGCTGCCTAACCTTGTGTTGTTCAGTTATAATCTTTGGTTTTTATTTTTCCTTTTCTGTAAACTAAAAAGAAGGAGAGTAATTACAACTATACTACTAATAATACCACCTTTTTGGCACAAGCCTATCTGCATCAGCCCTTGCTACCTATTCTACCGATGGTGTGAAGCAACAAATCCTTACTGTGTAAGTTAGTTCCTGTTGTGGGAGCTACCTACAACCAAAAGCATCTTCATACAAAGCGCTGACATGCATGCATATATGACATGATGGCAAGATGCTAGACTTAAGGGGGACATATAAGAAGAAAGGGATGTCAGAAAATCTTATCATCTATGTCTGTAAGCTGACAGTGAAGGCATCCTAACTCATCTACTGGGAGTCAAGGGGACCCAAGGGATTCTGTTTTCAAAGCAATGCTGGTTTCTTCTCTATTGTTGCATTTAATAATCACCTCAGATTGGTGTTTAAGTGTTGTCATAAACCAAGGAGCTATTTGTGTTTCCAAGACAGTGTGACAATATACAGCTTGTGTGGTGCACAGCCATCAGGAAAACAAGAAGTGGAGCCTTTGTATCTCTACCTTGGCTATGGGTCCCCAGAGGATCTGAAGGGGTGTTCTGGGCCACTTGTCACAACATTATTGACTTGTCAGGAAGCTCTTTATACAGTTGCAGGAGTAGAACACACTGTCCTGGGCTTGTCATGAAATACTGATCGAAAAAGTCATCTTCATAAGATGCAAAGTTTTCGATTTTAAGAGCAAAGAAGACAGGAATCCCTGATTGGTCTAACTAGACAGTGTGGAACATGGTTGCTACGTAGTGTGGCTTCCTCCTGTGGCCTTAAAAAATGTTGCATTAAGTCATTCTCGAGATAATGAAAGGGTGGGGGTCTCAAGTCTGTTTTATTGGCATTGGTCATATTACTTCCTATACATTAAGATGACTTTGATGAGCAATTCATTTAAACTGTAATTTGTTTCTTAAATGCAAATAACCTCTATGTTTTACTCTCTGCTGCTGGAATAAATTGGTCAATAATTGATTTTAGCAGAAGAGTGGAGATAACTTTTTAAATTTTATACATTTCTTCTCAAAAATTTGCATTGCTTTCTCAAATCACTCCATAAAATTTAGATTCAATTATTTTCATACTTGTGAACAGGAAATCCTAAAAGACACTATTTTGGCAATCAGGTATTGAGAAAATCAAGATTTCCTTTGGAGGTGCAACTCTGGTAACAGAATTGCCCAGCATAAGTGAGACCCTGGCTTCAGTTTCCTATATCACCCAGAGAGGGTGAGAGGGGGAGAGGGTGAGAGGGGTGGGAAGGAAGGAGAGAGAGAAACAGAGCAAGCAAGCAAGGGAGCATGATCGAAAGAGAAAGAGAGCAGGGGTGGAGGAGAGGGAGAGGGAAGGAGGGAGGGACAGAGAGACAGGAAAAGAGAATTTTTCTAAAGTACTTTATCTTTTTCATTAGCATATCAAGAACCATGCTTGGAACACTGAAATAATAAAGTTTGTTCCAAGTGTAAAGACGATGACTCTTCCATCTATAGAGAAGGTATTGATGTAGGGAGAAAAAAGAAAAGTTCCCGAGGATATAATAATTACCAATTAGACTCTTCTACCCAAGTAACTGGAAATCTTGACCCCTTATGAGAGGAGATATAGTTTGATCTAGGCATTGTGCCCTGTTCTTCTTTCTCTTGGCACACTTCCTCCCTGGCTGCACTTTGATGGGGTGGCATGGTTTAGAAATAATTATATTATGTCTGCGTGTAGTTCAGTGAATTTAAGTGTGTGAAGAACTCCAATGGACAGGAGATAGACAAGAGCCATCATGTCTTAAGTTCATTAGCAGGCTAAATTTGTTCTTTGTCTGTTCATCACTGTATCCCCAGAGCCCTGGATAAGTGTCTGGCTTATGGTAAGGACTGAATAGGCATTTGTTGAAGCCATGAGTAGTCCAGGCAGATCTGCAAACTAACTCTGAGGATCTCAATATAATTTCAACAAAAGCAGTGGGGCGGGAAAGCCCTGGGTTAAGGTTGAGAAGGCATTTCCGTGTGTGTGTGTGTGTGTGTCTTTTTGATACTATTTTTAAAATAATTATATAGCTTAAATTTTTATTTAAAAAAAATAAACATAAAAATTTAAATTCAAATAAAAGCCAAGCAAAACTTATGTAAAATTCTAGTAGTCATGATAATGCGTATAGATGGCACATGGAGGGGTGTTGAATTAGAAGAGAAGGTAAAGGAGGCTTTCTTTCATTCACATTTCTGTACTTAGGTAAATTCTAATAATCAAGTAGGATCAGCTCTAAATGAAAAAAATTAAAATCACAACATGCAAAATGTGACTTATATATTTAATATATAAATGTATGTATGTTACATGTGATAATGTATAAAATATGTTTTGAATATTACATTTGACCCAGTCCTGGCTATCATTTTTCTAATTTTAAGTGGTTATAAAATAAAAATATGACTGCACATTTTCCTCTCCAACTTTTTGCACTGGAAAATTTAAACTTACCAAAAATCTGAAAAAAAAATTAGAAAACCATACATCATTCACTGTATTCAGCAGCTTTTAATTTCTTGCCACATTTGCTTTCCTATACACACACACACACACACACTCACCTGTACATACACCCCATGCCCCCCAGACACACACCCCATACCCACACACACACAGGTATACCCCAAACACATCCACTCACTACCTATCTACCTGTCTCTTTAGCTGAAGTATTTTAAAAGAAGTTTATGATATTGGGAGTATGGCTCAGTGGCAAAGTATGAGGCTCTGGATTTGATTACTATTACCATAAAAAGAGTTTAGACAGCATGATAATTCATCCTTTAACTCACCACTTAAACAGAGTATTCTTCTACATTACTATCACGCTTTCATTACACCTTGAAATCAGTAGTTCTATATTATCAAGTAACAATTAGTCTGCATTTGCACTTCCATATTATTTCAATACAGTCTTTTCAAACTAACTTGGGGAAAAAATATAAAATTCAATGAAGTTTATTTCACTTGTTGTACTTAGCAGTTTTGTCTTTTTAGGCTCTTAAAGAAACAAAAACCTAGAACACCCCCACCTCTACTTCCACCCCCATATTCCCATCCTGTTTTTGTATTCAAGTCTAGGTTAGTGGAAAATGTTCTGTTTGTTTTCAAACGTGAGTAACCCAGCTTGAATTTGCAGGCTCATATTACAAATTATTATAGGTTTTTAGAAGCACATGTATCAACAACTGCAACAAATTTTCCTTTTTGGCTATTGGTTAGTCAGAGCAAGTCACTGGATCTCCAGCCAGGCACCAGATGTTTTTTGTTGAGAAGGAAAAAAAAGCACATTAAGAGCTTTTAAATCTTGCATTATCACTTTGATCATATATGAAATAATAGTGACATTTCATGCTTGGAAACAGAGCCTTCCTTCATATTGACAATATATTGCTGAGTGGATTAACTACCACACAACCACTTTAAAGGACCTGAAAATACAGTCACAGCCAAGAAGGATATTTTGAAGTTTGAAATGATCCTTATATAAATAGAACAGATCAGCATAACTTTGGGATAAAATTAGCCAACAGTTTGTGGACTCTTCAGTCTGTGTCTGTTTGCTGGGTGCTGCTCTCCTGATAAATCTCAGCAAGGCTTTCCGAGGGAGCAGAGGATGGAAGGCAACACTGCCCCTATCACTAAATCCGGAGCTGCCAAGTTAGTTAAGAGAAAATTCCTGGAGGCACTAAAGTCAAATGATTTTGGAAAATTGAAGGCTATTTTAATTCAAAGGCTAATAGATGTGGACACAGTTTTCGAAGTTGAAGATGAGAATATGGTTTTGGCGTCTTACAAACAAGGTAATGAAAAAACATGGGGTGTAATTGTAAAATTGATAAAAATGGATTTTTTTAATGAACTAAATCAGTAGCTCTTAATGTTTCTTTAAATGTTTATATAAAAATTATTCCCAATTTTAATCTATGGTTTCTTTTTAAACTAGAATGCATATGGGTTATATATATGCATGTCTTTCTTTCTCTATCTGTATATATTTCTCTGTATATATATTTTACACACACACACACACACACACAACATTCTACACACTTGTATCTTTTATTTTCTGTCTCTTCCTCTGTACTTAGAATTTGGAATGCTGGACAATCATATTTAGTAACGCAACCATGTGTTTGTAACTTTTCTAATTATGATAGCATAGAATAAATAAAATCTCTCTAGATTATGGTTAAGCGAACTTAGACCTTATCTAGACAATTTGGTTGGGGACATGCTGTTAATTTCTCTATAATCAGCCACTTAAAGATATATCATTTCTATGTTTATATGGATAAAAAGAGGATTTTATTTCACTATTTGAAGGGTTAATAAATGGAGAAATCTATGCCGAAGGCACCTTGATAATCTTCATCATTTTAATGAGTTTCAGTTCAAGCACAAAAGCTAAGGTCAGAAAAACCAAAAAGTTAACTTTTTTGCTCCTGGCCTGAAATAATAAATCAAAGTTGTACAAGTGCTTGGTGCAAAGTATCAGCTTTATACAAAATGAAGAAAAACAAAAATATGAATGAAACTGTTTTTAGTAAGGGATTTTTTTTTTTTGGTCCTAGAACATATGCTTAACAAATCAGAAATAAATTCACATGCTGATTCTAATTTTCCAAGTCAACTAGTTAATAGGGGAACTTGAGGAGTCAGGCCATCTGGTGAGTGGGCTGCAAACAAAACCCTGTTCAACATCACTTCTGTTTAAATAAATTAGATGATAAGCTCTTGTGTAGCACATTCAGAGAGAGAATGCGTGATTATGTTTTATGTTTAAAAATGTTTTCTCTCCTATATAAAACTATTAGTGCCACCGATTTCCAGACATAAATACTAATCATCTGTTTCTATAGTAATTTCACTAATTTCTGATAGTTATAAAGGAAATATAAGTTGAGGCCAATTTCTTACTGTGTTTGTGATTTGTGCTTGAGGGAGTCATCATAAGTTGGCATTGCTGTTTGGATTAAAGGATAAAAGAACATATATATATATATATATATATATTATATATATATATATATATATGCACTTTTTAAGGTTGATAGAAGCTCTGTTAAAAAGAAAAATCAGATATATAATTAGGTTGCTTTTATCTGCTGGCTTTGTTTGGTGAAGAATGTCTGAATGCTAACTGCATTTAAAAGTTGCTGTTATTTCAAAACTTATATTTGTGCATAAGGTAAAATAAGTCAGATCTGGGTCAGTGAGTAATTTATTTGACCCTGAGTCACAAAGACTGCCTTTTCTCATTTCCTGCGCAGCCAAGTTGCACAGGTCCTGCGATGATTCTGAGATTATGAGAAAGGAACTTTGAGATGCAGCTTCTCAGGCAGCAGGGTGTTTTATTCCTTCTTTCCTTCTTTCTGCTTCTAATGATGTCATCACCCTTGAATGAGAACAAATATATTTTTTAATTTTCTTGTCAATATGAGCATTTATAGTTTTCGTAGAGCTGAATTTTCCTTCACACTAATGGTGTTTTCAGCGTTTGGACTGTGGGATGTGGCTTGTAATTAGGAGGTAGCAAAACACAGAGTCTGAGTAAAAAGGAAAAGTTCTAGTCTTATGTATGCCAAGTGGGTGTCTACCCAGAAATAATAGGACTTGTGGTCATATCTTCAGGGTTTGCACAGGGAGTCATTGTTGTGTGTGTGCACACAAGCACATGGGTATGCATGCACACATGGGCATGTGGAAAGGCAATGTCTGTTAAATAGGAACATGGATAGAAGACTGTCTCTTTAGTCTTAAAGCTCCATTTGTTTTCTTGGAAGTTACTGCTGATATTCTTTTTTCACATCACTTGCAGCCTAACTACCAGTCCTTTCAATATTAAGGTGGAGAATGGAAGGATTGCTGATGAAGTAAATCTTAACCTAAGTGATCATATCAACTTCTTAACTCACAAAGGAATTCTTTGTCAGCAGAGTAGCTGGTTAGTACACTAACTAGTCAGTGAGAGCTTTTTGAATGGTTCTGATGAATATTTGTATAGATTATAAAGTCTTTGAGACTTTATTCAATAAAATCAGACCTTTTGGATATTGAATACTTGTACAGACTGCTCTTTGATGTTTAAAGTATGTTTTAAAAACTCTGCAAATGAAAGTGAACAAGAAAAGTATACAAATCTTTGCATGTAGCTTGATGAGTTTTCAACAAGCAAACAAGCTTACATAACTATCATCTACACGGAGAAACTCAAATACTGTTTACTTTTAAAGGATGAAAACCTGCAGCTTCTAGTTGTTTTTGGCTTACTAAGCATGATGATGTGTTAAAACTTTAGCAAATAGAATGTTCATTTTGAATTTTCTTTTGTTTCTAATACATTCTGTATTTAGTATTTTATTATCCCGAAAGAGATTAACAGTGCTACAATCAATTCCCACTTTTAATTTCCTCTGAAATATGCTGTAACATTTTTCATGGGACTTTGAAAAGGGGTTGTATTTTATTTCTAAGTATAGTAAGTCTAGGCTAATATGAAAATTGGTATGGAATTCTTGGAAAGGTTTCTTAGACCTCCGCTGGCAAGAATATCAATTTAGGTTCTAAATATTGTTCCACAATCTAGTAAGTAAATCAATAATTAAAAATTGACCTCATGAACCAATATGCATTTTGTGAGGAAGATAAAAGAAATTGGAAACTGGATTTTACGTCTGCCTGTAGTGCTAAACTCCTCAGGGAGAAGCTTTTCCCACCAGCCCAGCAGAACCAGATTTAGAAGCTAGTCCCCACAGCCATAGTCCTACGGTGGTCCTGTGTAAGCGCCTAGCAAGGGTTCTTAAAATTAGACAGATCTTGTTTCATAGTTTCAAGTTATTTTAAGTTTCATAATCGATCTTCAGGTAAGATCATATTGTATTTTTTTTTAAAAAACAAACCTTTCTTATTCCGTAAAATAAGGAATAAAAAAAATGTGCCTGCTGGCATTTGAGAAACCTCCCAAGAAATAGCTGGCAAAGATATGTGTTTTAACAAAACAAAACCAAAAAAAAAAAAAAAAAAAAAAACAAAGCAAAACCAAGTTAAGGAAAGTAATGCTTACCAGACGACCATTTTAAAACAGGAATGGCATAAAGCAAACACAAATATATGAATGATTTTTTTTAACAACCAGATACAATGAGCACTTGGATAGTCAAAGGATATCCGGATATATAGTTGACTCAGAGACAAGGGGACAATATGTAGAGTGAAAGCAAACTGGAAAAAAATCTCTGCGTTAATTCCCAAGGTTCATCCAATCTGTTTCTCTGGTGGCCCACAGAATGAGCAGTATGAGCAATGAGTGTAAAGAGTTGTACCTACAGTTTTTCTAACTATACGTTTTGACTCTCAGTTTTGTGCGCTCTGACTCATTAACAATACAAGCAGACCATCATACTTATCTCTTTGGTATGAAATGCTTCACTCAGCAAGGTTAATCGGAGTCCTTTTATCAATCAGTTTAATTCACTTAAAGTACTCCATTTATGGCACATAACCTCAGGTTCCTCTGTGGTAAGTCATTTTTAATTAAAATAACCAATGAATGATTTCCCTTGAAAAACTTTCTGGCAAGTACTCTAGCTACTTCACTGAGTAGCATCTGCTATCCAAATATCACAAAAGCTTTTATTTCCAGTCTCCTAATAAATATTCTTTATCACCTAATTTTGTTTCCTTTGCCAGAAATTTGCTTTCCTGTGATCTTATAACCACTCTAAGGGTTCCTTTCCCTCTCTAAATGCTAAGTTTTTGCTTTTCTTTAAAATTTTGCATGTTAATCTTGCTTTCCTTTTTCCTTTCCCAGAGGAGACCTAAAAATACTAGATATTAAAAAATAATTAAGAGTGGTGTGTCAGTCTATAATCCTCCAGGACTCTGCAAACAAGTAGACACAAGCAGAGTAAATGTCTGCTAATCCAGCCATGAGCAGTGTGTGCTACCTTTGGCTGTAATGACAGGCTCTGCTTTTGTGGCATTTCCTGGGCTTAGATTACATTGTAGTTGATAACTTTTTCAGAGCCCTGGCTTAGCTGAATTTTTACCAGAGATGTGTACATTCTTCCCAAACTCTGGAACAGAAGCAGCGCCATCTTCCGGAAGGCAGCCAAAACGCCTTATTAATGTTTCTTGTATCCTTTTTTCTCTATTTCTTTACCTTATTTCTCCAGAGTGAGCTTTCAACCCAGCCACATAATTGTCTTTCTTTGGTTTCTGCTTTAAATTCAACTCACACAAAGCAATACTTGGGGAATGAGTCTGCATATTTTTTGAGAGGATAAAACTTCTGAGATTCCTTTGGAACTTTTAGCTACAAGCAATATCAGCTTGGAAGTGAACTTCGTAGCTTTAAGATCATAGCTTGCTATGTGGGAGTTTTAGGGGGACTGAGTGTGAGAGTTTGATCTCTGTTAGCATTGATTTTATGAATAAAGACATTTTACTTAACCTACACCAGACAAATTTATACATTTGCCCTCAGCTGTGTAAGGCAAGCTTTGCTGAGATACTAAGTCTCCAGCATGCAGATAATTAATGACATTATGATGTGACTAACATAAGTAGATTATGCATGAAGATATGGGGAAAGTAAAGGTGAATATAGAGATTATGAATACATACAGGTGTGACTTGTATTTGAGCCTTTCGTGTGGGATTTGTATTTGAGCCTTTCGTGTGGGATTTGTACATAGGGAACGGATCTGTACTTTTCCATTCCCTGAAGCTAATGCTCTTCTGAAAGCAGCCATTGCTGAACTTAGCCTGTTACGTGGAGCTGGATTGTGGGTGACTTATACTTAAAGTGTGTGTGGGGGACAATCGCTTCTTGCCACATCTACCCAGCAGCTCCTCGAAGGAGGATACTGTCTCCCACTTCCTGATACCTCTGTTCTTTGTGCAATCTGAGCACAAAGGTAGGACAGCATGGCATGAGCAGGGTAAAGTCAGGGTCAGGGGGTGGGGGGGAACTATTGAAAGGAATATTAAGAAGAAATCACACTGTAGGCCTGAGAACCCTGGGAAAGGATGATGCAAGAAGAAAGGAGAGTGTAAAGCAGTACATCTACCGATTGCTTAACTGGGTTTCTAGCATTCTGTGACCATTGGTGGATATATCTGAGGGACAAATTCTGATTCCTTGACACAACCTGAATCAACACTAGCCTGTTAATGTTAGTAGGTACAGCCTCATCTTCCATGTTGAGATCACTTTATCCAATGGAGGACCTGATTTGGTCCTCCATGAAGATAGGTGTACTTATGTCTATACAAGCTATCTGCTGAGCTGGAGGTCCAGCCTCATTTTAAAGCCATGATTATAATTCACATCGCCCCTTTGCCAAGGGTTACTCTTTGCTCAGTGCAGTAGGCTTTCCTATTCTGCTCGTGACTGACTTATCCAAAAGCCCTTTCCCTTACATTGCAACCAAAGTTCTGCAGCCCAGCTTAATGATACACACCACCCTCTAGTCTGTCTATTCCTCTTTTTCTCCTGTCAGTTCCCAGGGTGGCATTAAGGTACCTTGTTGTCCCCCAACCTATACCCATGCTAAGCTAGGAGAAGTGTGTTGTAGGCACAGTTCCATTGTGAGGACTGGCTTCAATCCAGGAGAGGGTGGCCTATGAATCTGGTTACCAGCTAATGATTATGATTATAAAAGACAAGGGCAAAATTGACTGAGAAGCCAAGGATTTATATCATAAGCAGGTAGGAGAAATTCTTCAGGTGCTGCTGGGAATTTAAGAGCAAGAAAAAAATATCAACAAGCAACTGTATTTCCATATCAGAGATGTGACATATTATACATGAGTTCAGGATCTTCTTCCTTTCTTTGTGATTTGCAAAGCAGACTTGGAGTTAAACCTGCTCTGCTTCCACAAAGACAAAGATAGATGGAACATTCACACTGCAGATATTCTAAGTTGGACTAGAGCAGGTGACTGATGACTTTAGCAAGCTGAAAAAGTGGCAGTTTTCTCATACGAAAAATAAAAGATTTGGACTGGGTAATCTTCCCTCTAGTACTAGCATTGTGTGTTTCTTTGATTTTACATCAAAATAGTGTTTTCTTCATCAGCCCTCGGCTGCTTCCTTCCTGAAATCATTTTTCTTCCCATTGCAGAAGCAGGCTGGGCTTTCCAATCAGTGGCAGCACAGAGCTACCTGATCTTCACTGCTTATCAGAGCGTGGAGCTTCCTCCATGGTTTTCAGATCTGGAACCAGCTTCTCTCCAAGACAGAAGCAATTGTTTTCACAAGTTGCTCATTGAAGAAACTATTTAAATGATAATATATTTGTATTAGTGTGATACACTCATTATCAAAAACAAGCTGCATGCCACGTACCTTATGGTTTTAGTGTACACTGTGACTAGAAGTGTATGAACACACCACACCACTTTATTGTGTGCTTATCTCTCTTCACACATGCTCGTATACACAAACATTAGTAGTCTGTGCTTGATACTTCCTACCTCAGACTGAATCTGTCGACCCAAGGACACATGTAGCTCTGCCAGGAAGAGCACACAACCAAATACTATCTTCTCAGTGACCAAGATAGCAAGCTACTATCTTAAACTTAATTCTACTGACTGAATACAGATGCATACATCTATTAAGATACTCCTGAAAGAGAATCCCCATCTAAGTCCAATAGCCCATTAGCCTTAGTGTGAAATAAATGGAATTCTTTTGGAAGAGTAGATTTGGGTCAGGGAAAATGTGGGAAGAAGAGAAAGCAAGTGAGAATAGAATTCTGAATAGAATTAAAAGAGAGAGGCAGAGAGGGAAGGAGGGAGTGAGAAAGGGAAAGAGAAACTAGATGAAAGGATGTGCTAAAGAAAGACAAATTTTGGATTAAGTTTATTCATTCCTGTGTGATAGATCAGTATTATCTGTAACCCTGTAAATGGTATCTTTAACTTAAATTATCCTGGAGAGAGAGATAATGATTTAGTTTAGTTTGTTTGTTTGTTTGTTTTCTTAGAAGTAAAAGCCAACTGAGAATGTAAGGTCCTGAGTTCAAGCCCCAGCACAGGAAATAAAATAAATAAAAAATAAAACTAAATAATGCATACAATAGAAGAACTCAGCAACAAGTATATTTATGCCTTTGACTCCCACTCCACATATTCTTCTGGGAAGCCATTACTACAACCAGTTTCTTGTTCTAGGTGTTTAAAATATATTTGAAAAAAGAAAAAGACAAAGCTGGGCATTGGTGGCTCACGCCTGTAATCCTAGCTGCTCAGGAAGCTGAGATCTGAGGACTGAAGTTCAAAGGCAGCCCGGGCAGGAAAGTCTGTGAGACTCCTATCTCCAATAAACCACCAGAAAACAAAAAGTGGCGCTGTGGCCCAAATGGTAGAGTGCTAGCCTTGAGTTGAAGAGCTACAGGACAGCACCCAGGCCCAGGGTTCAAGCCCTACAACTGACTATATATATATATATATATATATATATATATATATATATATATATATATATATATATATACTTGTATCTTGTATAATATATCTAATCTTCTGTTCATTTCAGTCTACATAAAACTGCCTGCTTCCTTTTAATAGCCATTGAGTATTCACTTGTATACAGGTTCTATAATTTACTCTTCTATTGATATAAAATGAAGTTATTTTCCATTGTTTAACCTTTGGGAACAATGCTGTAGAGTGTGCAAACTCTTCCATGTGGGCCAGGTTACAGAACTGACCACCACAGGATAGCCTTTCATGGCATGCACTGTGAGCAGCATTCACTGGAGTCTGCAAAACCGTGCCCCTTTGTGGCACTTCACACATGAGCCATTATACTTGTAGGGGTGTCATAGATGTGCTTAAATGGGAAACTTCTAAGACCTGATCACCAGGCTTACTTTTTTTTAAAAAAAAATGTTGGTCATAGAGCTTGAACTCAGAGTCTGGACACTGTCCCTGAGCTTTATTGCTCAAGGCTAGACCTTTAGCCACAGCACCACTCCCAGTTTTCTGCTGGTTAATTGGAGAGAAGAGTCACAGATTTTTCTGTTTAGGCTGGCTTCAAACCACAATTTTAGTCTCTTGAGTAGCCAGGATTAGAGATGTGACAGGCTCACTTTTAACGTGGTCCTCATCTACAGACTGTCCTGTAGTTGCTCCTCACTCCTTGTACAGGTTGGTGCCAGAAGCAATCATAATACACTAGATTCATTCTGATATCATGCAATCAGTGAAGCATACAACTTTCACTTCTCATCTTCTGAGTACTGGGCTTTTATTAATGTGGTTAAGATTATATTAGTATTTTGTCAGTTCGGTTTACCTGTTGGCTCATTTTAAGAGTACTGTTAACTCAAATCCCTCCCTAGGTCTTCTCTAAAATAAATGACCATTAAATCATATTTGCTTACTTTATACTTTTAAGTGGAATTTTTACAGCCTAAAAGCAAACTTTTGATTCATTCAAATTTAAGTTCATTTTGTTATTTCATCCCTAGAGTCTCTCTTAGGCTGCGGTGCTATTGCTATAGCCTTACCCATCATCATGTCCTCTTTCTCTACGGAGTTTCCATTCCCCATTCCATGAGTTTAAATGCAGTAGCTCATGGCTTGTGTTTGCACGAGAATTTTATAAAGTCACCAGAGCTATACTGGTCAAATATGGCAATTAAAAAGGAGGGAGGAAGAGGGGGGAGGAGGAGGAGGAGGAGGAGGAGAAGGAGGAGGAGGAGGAGGAGAAAGGCAAGGAAGAGGAGGAAGGGAAGGGGAAGGGGAGGGAGGGGGAGGAGGGGGAGAAGAAAAGGAGAAGAAGAGGGAGAAGGAGGAGGAGAGGAAGAAGAGAGAATGAGAGAGATTCCAACATGTAATGGAAAATATTTATCTAAGCTCTCAGCTCTAGGAACAAATTCTTTTCTTTTTTTGACTAATGAATGTGTTCATAGTTTGTGGGCATAGTTAAGTGTACCATACATCAATTAGGTTTTCCTGTTTGCCTTGGCTGTAATTTAGTTGTGCAGGACGTAACTTCTATTTCATGTGCTTCTCTTACTTTTTGACTTCTTTTCGTTTTCTTTCCTGACCCCGCCATGTTATATTCAAGACATTTTAAAACAAAACTTACATTCTTTAAAATTTTTTCATTTGCCTTAAATTCTTCTATGAAAAGAAATTTCATATAAATCAACAGGCAAACACAGAAAAAAATCTTGATGTGACTATTTTTTCCTCCCTGAATTTCTAAAGGTTGTACAAGAAGGGTTACAATTTAACACATCCCGTGCTTCTTGACAAGAGTCAAACTTCCATCATTCTCTCCTATCCCATCTGCTCCTTCCCCCATAAATTAAATACCTACTATGGCCAGCCATAGTTGGCCATGCTTGCCATCCCAGCCCTCAAAGGCTAACGCAAAAAGACCAAGAGTTCAAGGCCAGCTTGTAGTGGGTCCTTGTCTCAAAACAACAAGAACAACTAAAATCTTTGCGCTGAAACTTCTGAGCTGCCTTCCTCTCAATTTTATAAATTTGATCCAAATAAAATACTTTGTTGAAATCCTCCTAAAACCAGGAGCCATCCTAGGATAAATAAGTTAAAATTCCCTTCTTCTTCATTTTTCAGGTTATTGGTTGCCTAGTTACAAATTAAAGTCTTCCTGGGCAACAGGCTTGCACATCTCAGTCTTGTTTGGCCACGTGGAATGTCTCCTGGTGCTTCTGGACCACAATGCTACAATCAACTGTAGACCCAATGGGAAGACTCCTCTCCACGTGGCTTGCGAAATGGCCAACCTAGACTGCGTGAAGATCCTCTGTGACCGTGGTGCAAAGCTCAATTGCTATTCTCTGAGCGGGCACACAGCTTTGCACTTTTGTACCACACCAAGCTCCATTCTCTGTGCTAAGCAGCTGGTGTGGAAAGGTAAGCCTTTCTGTTTGCACAGTCATGGTTTCAAGCCTTGGAGATTCCCACTCAGGCAATGGGATATATGTTATTTATACTCCTGTTTTAGCCTAGTTCAGGGGCCCTAAGTTGTGTGTGTGTGTGTGTGTGTGTGTGTGTGTGTGTGTGTGTGTTCACCTATGTAAAATGAAACAGTCACCTAATTGAAGCTTTCAAACTAAATACCTTTACATATATATGTATATACACACATATATATATACACATATATTCACACATACAGACATGTATATACATACACACACATATTTATAGGTATACACACATGCACATAGGCATATATAGTTAGTTCTTTTAGCTGAGGTCGTTCAGGGATGATCTTGGAACCTTCCTATTTTTTTTTTTTTTTGGTCCAATAGTGGGGCCTGAACTCTGGGCCTGGGCGCTGTCCCTCAGCCCTTCAGCTCAAGGCTAGCACTCTACCACTTGAGCCACAGTACCACTTCCGGCTTTTTTTTTTTTCTGCTTATGTGGTGCTGAGGAATCGAACCCAGGGCCTCATGCGTGCAAGGCAAGCACTCTACCACTGAGCCACCTTCCCAGCCCAACCTTCCTATTTTTTAAGTATGGGAAGTATAACAATTTACTAATTTCCTTAACAAAATATTTACTTAGCTCCTGCTCAGTTAAGAAATGAGATTAATACAGTATGTTCACAAAAAATAAAAATTAAAATTAAAAAAAAAAAAGAAATGAGGTTAAGTAAGTGAAGAAGAGAATGTAATTTCCTCACTCAAAAGAAAATATAGTCCAGCAGGGGATATAAGCATCAACAAAATTAGTTCTTCAGTATGTAAATTCTTAAATATATAATTATAAGGAAGAAAAGTTCTATGAAGGAGGAAACAGGAGTTATGAATGAATGTTAGAATGTTAAGGGTGAGCTATTATAAAATGAGTAGAGACTTCCTTAGGATATAATGTGTAACCACAAGAATGAGGAGGAAGGAGGCATTATACAGGAACTGTGGGAGAGGAGTCGAGTTCAAGGGCAAAGTGCAAGGGACCACAGGCTTGGATTACTAAACAAATGGTCCTCAGTATGAAAGGCTTAGGGTTGGCTCAAAAGGACAAGAGGGCAGAGGCTTGTGCCGCAAGGTAATATTGTATAGGATAAATGGCTCAGGGCCTTCTGATGGAGGCCAAGGTGTGAGGATTGAAAATACACACATTGAGAGTTTAAAGCAAGACAATGACTTGGTCTGTTCACACCTTCATTCTTGAGTTATGCAGAGAATGACCGGAGGAACGCAGGAATGGGGCAGCAGACCAGCAGGGAAGCTGCTGCCAAAGTCTAGGGGTCTAGGTTGATAGAGGATGGGGCCTTGCCCTCAGGGCCAAGCCAGATAGGAAGAGAGGAATGTGGAAACAGAATTCATAGGATTTGGAAAAATCCCAAACTGATGGATTCGCATGAGAATCAGGGAGAGGAGTAAAGGATAAGTAGGTTCAGAGTTTCATTATCAAGTTTTAGGGAAGGGGCAGATAGTAATATTGCTAACTCTCTCTCTCTCTCTCTCTCTCTCTCTCTTTCTCTCTCTCTCTCTCTCTATCTATCTAATTTTTCATTGTGTAACCTAAGGAAAAAGCATGCATGTGATAATAGATGCAAGATTAGCATTTTTTAAAAGTCAGGTTACCAAAGTCCAATTTTCACACAGAAGGATCCACAGCAAAATTCATTATTTTTGAGAAACACTATTTTTTATGAAACCATCAGCATAATCATCTTAAAAGTTCTGTACTACTCTTTGGGTCTTTTTTTTCTTCCCAAAGCCCTCTAACCTCTGTGATTTCCTGACCCTATAGTTGGCTTCCCCCCAAAAAATGATCATATAAGTTGAATTATATAATATTTGGGCTTTTGACTCTTATCTTCCAGTAATTATAATGCATTTGAAATTCAGCCATGTGGTTGCAAATAAATCTTACTTTATAATTTCCTGAGTATACTTGTAATGCAGTACATCTACTTGCCAATAGAGGGCCACTTGGGATATCCCTAATTCTTATCAATTCTGAAAATTAGAGAAAAAAATACAGCTATTAACATTTACATACAGAGTGTTATATGGATATGCCTTATTTATTTAGGGCAAATACCCATGAGATGATGTGATGAATGGTTAATTTAGAAGACACTACAATAAAAAGTGGCTATACAAATTTGTATTTCCACCAACAATGTGTGAAAACTCCAGTTGGTCCCCATCATTTCCCAAACTCAAATATGTGAAGATATTTAATTTTTTGTAGCCATCTAATAGCTATAACTAATGTCACATTGTGTTTTCAGATAGAATTTCCCTATGATATATTTTCATGTATTTATTTGCCAACAGAGATATTTACTTTGCTGTTCATGTCTTTCTTATTTGCTTTTTTCTTTTGTCACTCGTGGGTATTGAACCCAGGGCTTGGGCACTGTTCCTGAGCTCTTTTGCTCAAGGCTAGTGCTCTACCACTTTGAGCCACAGCTCTACTTCCAATTTTCTGGTGGTTCATTGGATATGAGTCTCTGCCCTGCTTGACTTGGAACCAAAATCCTCAGATCTCAGCCTCTCGAGTAGCTGGAATTACACCAGCACCCAGCTTTTTTTTTCTTAAATAGGTTATTTGATTTCATATTATCGAAAGGGTTACGTATTATTGTTCATAGATATAGTTACACATATACTGTTTACATACTTGTCTTTACATATTCTAGATACTAATCCTTTCTTAAATATGTAGCTTGTTTTCCTTTTCATTTTCTTACCAGTGATTTTTCAACTTTGATGACTATAATTGCCATACTATTTCCTTTGCCCTTTATGTTTGAAGAAATCTTTTCCTATATCAGGTAATAACATTTTCTCCTAGAAAATTTATGTTGTACAGTCACCAATATTACTGAAAAAATGAAATATGTATATATCTAATAAAACTTTAAATTGTACTATTTTCAAATCATACAGGTACTCAAAATAATGTTGTTAATAATTGTTGTTAAAAGTAATAATGTTGTTCATGGAAGGCACAGTATGAGTGTACACACTTGTAATCCCAACTAAGTAGGAAGTACAGATAGGAAGTTTTCCACTGGAGGTTACCTCTCTGCAAAAGTGTAAAGCCTTTGTACAAAACAAAGTACATAAAAGAAAGACCAAGATGTGGCTCAAGTGGAAGACCATGAGGCCCTGAGTTCAATTCTCAGTACCTGCTGGGGCTGGGAAGGTGGCTCAGTGGTAAGAGTGCGTGCCTCACATGCATGAGGCCAGGGGTTCAATTCCCCAGCACCACATAAGCAGAAAAAGCTGGAAGTGGCGCTGTGGCTCAAGTGGTAGAGTGCTAACCTTGAGCTGAGTTGTTCAGGGAAAGTGCTCAGGCCCAGAGTTCAAGCCCCAAGACCATAAAAAAAAAAAAAAAAAATTCTCAGTACCTGCAAAAGGATATAAAATTGATGGTTGACATGAACACATTTTAATGAGAAGAGTATTAACAGGATGGATTCATTTTTCTAAACCTTGTACATGACTATGAATATCAAAAAATAATACTTCAGTAATACTTAAAACAATCATATTTTATATCATAGTTTATGTTTAACTCTACCTAGTTTCATAAAGGTAAATCTTTTACTTAAGTTATTTATTTGTAGAAATGCATATATTTATACACATGTCTAATATGTATGGAATACATATATATATATATACACATGTATATATATATATAAATATATATATATATGTTTGTATAAATGGTACTTGGCAAATAGGAATCAATAGAAAAGCAAAATCGTGGGTCACAATTCCTGACTGGCCTTTCAGGGACTTCAGGAGTCCTGAGAACATGAATAGAGTTTTATGTCATCTAGTGAATGAATGGAGACTGTTAGGTTGGCGGCCAGTTTCATGTTTCCAGTCTGGTAATAGAGCCAAGGACTGAATTTTCTCTGGGATCATGTCATAGTCACCTTGGGGGAGAAATCATATACATCACTTGGTGGCTGGACAGAAGGAAGTGAGACAGCACACAGACAAAGAAAATAAGCCAGGCTAACATTAAACTCAGGACCAGAGAGGTCCATTAGAGGAAGAAGCAATGCCATGGCAACTGAAAACTGATGTAATTTCATTTGCTCTTTAATGGGCTCTTTGTAGAAAAGTGCTCTTTGTGGAAAAGGCTAATTGAGTCCAAAAAATTGCATGCAATTTTCTCTTAAAGGATTTTTTTCTCCTATTTTGTCAGTGTTGCACAGCCTGCTTTGTCCCCTTGCTGGATGTGTCTGCTATTTTTCTGTTTTCTTTTCTACTTAACACCCCCCATTTTCTGGCCTTTGTTTCCTTTGGTATTAGTATAATGGCAATCAGTAACGAGGGCTTGTTTACCTCAGTGCAAACCTCTCTCTCTTTGCATCCTGCATCTCCTAGCATGGAAGAGTCAGGTCAGGGTTAGTGGGCTGCTAAGCTGCATATTATTATTCTACTTCTTCCTTTTTGTAAGAAGAAAATGAAAGCTGCTTGCTTTACTCTGCATGAAGCAAATCCTGACAGTAGGAGGAAAAACTGTTACTGCAGAAAAAGCCATAAAAATTCAAATGTTTTCTATAGAATGTAGCATCCGGGTAAAACCATGCCCTTTAAAAGACTGTCCTCTGTTACTTAGTATGACAGTGACACAGTCATACAGCATGTTAGGAAATTCCTTGTTCAATGAAGCGGTATAATAAGGCAAGATGTCACTGGCCTTCACTTTAATCAAGAAATAGATCTGCCTGTTGGACAGACCATCTCATTGCTTTCCATTTTTTTCATTCTTGTGTTATATATTGGCATAGCCCAAGTCTGATCATCTAATTCATTTGAAAATCATCCTGATTTCTGCTACATCTCTCATTGTTAGTACCTATGACACCAGGATTTGGATTTTTGTCTTGGAGTTGCTATTCCTTATTAAAATTAACTTTAAACAAA